ATACAAAATCAGTTTATTGCCCCCACAATCTGGGTCCTCATTTTACCTACCTCGAAAGGATGGAAGGCTGAGTCAACCTTGAGCCTGGTGAGAGTTGAACTTGCAGTAATTGCAGGCAGCTGGTGCTATTTAACAGCACTTTAGTCTGCCACCAAGGCTCTTTACCCAACTAGATAACATCATCAGTACTAGAAGGGAATGGGGCAATGGTGGGTTGCCCCGGGTTTACACCGGTTCTATAGAACCGGTAGTAAAACTGGCGGGAGGCTCCGCCCACCAACCCCGACATCATCAAAATGCTTCTGCGCATGTGCAGAAGAGCACGCATGTGTGCTTGCTTCACTCACACACACGTGTGGCCCTGCTGCGAACCGGTAGTAAAGGTAAGTAGAACCCACCCCTGGAATGGGGCAATCCCCATCTAGCACTGATGATGCTTCCTAGCTAGGTAATAAAATGTCTGCAAGAAAACAACCAACTTCAGGGAGCACCAAGGAGCCCACAGTTCAACCCTGAACTAAAATGTCAACTGTACATGCTTATTTCTCACCCCAGCCAGTGTATGATTGTAGTTTTCAAAATTTCTTTTTTGAAAAATAAAATAGATCCCACAAACCTTAGACCAATTTATCTTATTTCTAAACGGATTCTAGCTGCTAAAATCACCCTTTGGAGTCTTGGGGATTTTCATAGGATTTCTGACTGTCTTTATTTCCATTTTGCCCTGTACGAGTCAATGAACCCCATCAACAGAGTCGGGGGCAGCCGCCACTCTTGTATCCTTTAGCACAACAATATGGAGTGTTTTCAAAAGTGATTCCTTTGATAGCGCTGCCATATTGCTGCATTGTTTCTGCTGAGCAGAAGAGAAACTTTGGAGCCTGTCCTGGTAAATCAGCAAACACACATTCAGGACAAAAGAGAATGGGAAAAAATGATAGACAAAAATAAGAAGAGACAGTAGCAGTTTGCAGTGGGTTTGTCAAAAGGGATCGATTGAGTCCACAAAAAGACGAATGAACCATTTGAACGGAACACCAGAAGGATAAAAGCACAAATCAACCAAAGTCTCCCGGAAGATTGATTGAGAGCCAGTGGAAACAAACAATAACTTATAGAAGTTGTATTACAGCCCTCTGACTGGCTCTTTTTTTTTTTTTTTTTTTTTTTTTGCCTTCTTTCAGAATGCTTTGCACTTGCAGTCATTGTATTCAAGAGGAGGGAAAATCAGTCTCATGCTGCCTTTGTAGACAGTTAGTTTTGAACGTTAGCTTTGATGCACAATTGCATGCCTTCTTTTAGAAGTGCTATCACAGGCGAGCAAAACAAATGATAAACGAATAAGTGACGTGATGGCCAAATGATTTCGAAATGAATTTGGGTGCAAGGACGGGCAGATGTTGGGTCATCTACGTTCCTTCTGCACATTTTCCAAACTGCAGAGTTGTGTCCATTGCAGCAATTTATAGATTGTATAGACTACAATTTTATTTTATATACCTCGGCCTATAGCTGTGATGGTATCGTTACCCATCTGTTGTATTCCAGTTCCTGATGGTTCTTCCAAAATACTGGAAAGGAATAGAAGTAGAAGTGGAATTGGGCATTTTATACAAGCAGAGAGAGCTCAAGGGCTCGTGTCAATGCCAGAGCACACGGGTGAAGAGCTCAGAAAATAAAAAGGAGAGCATAAAGCGAGAACGGCTCTTATTCCTTTTGCCAGAGAGATGGGGAAATTGCATCCTCTATAGCCAACTAGGAAATGAGTTTCTCAGTCAGTGACTGTCTCGGTTTTAATATCCAAATGTAAACAAATAAAAATGCAGGCTAGGACTGCTCTAATCAGAAAGTGCCAAGAAAATGGACTACAATTTCCATTCATAAAGGTTGTTAAAGATAGAAACATGGTTAGATATCCTTTGAGATCTTAAAATAGCTATTTCTCACCATCTGTGTGTTGGTTTGAAAGCAAAAAAAAAAGCTTCAGAACTTATGGACATAAGCATGGAACGTCAAACCTTACTCTTTGCTATACACTCTGCTAAAGTCCCGATGTATTATGTCTATAGCTTTCCCACAATCTATTAAGGAAGTTAACGAACCAATTAAAACAAAAATTGGTAATATTTGTTCTTCACTGTCTTGTCATACTTTCTGACAATAAATACTTGTTTCCAAGGAACTTTTTATGATCTGCTCTAGAATCTTCCCAGATATCAATGTTAAGCTTATTGATCAGTAGCTTGCTGAAGGTTTTTCTTCCCCTCCCTTTTTTTTTTAAGATACTTTCTTCAGTAATCTAGGATGCCATTCACCTGCCCCTGACGATTTTAATTCACTCAAAGTAAACAAACTTTCCTTGGTGATTTCTTCCAAATTTGTTTTTAATGGGATTTTTAAACAGTATTGGAAGAATTAAACAGAATACAAAAAGTACAACAAAATACTAAAGAAAATTAAGAAATATTTTTTTAGAAAATCTATCTAAAACAGGGGTGTTAAACTCAAGGCCCGGGGACCAGATCTGGCCAGCGGGGTACTTAGATCTGACTGGCGGGGCTGCCCTGGAAACAGCGAAGGACTGGCCTGTGGTGCTTCTGCCAGTGAAAACGGAGCTCGCATGCGGCCCTCCCAAGCTCCGTTTTCACTGGCAGAGGGTTGCAGGAGGCCGTGGCAGTAGAAAATGGAGCTTGGGAGGCCATTTTCGCTGGAAGAGTGTTCGGGCCACCACAGGTGCCCCCAATATAAGTGATGTCGAGCTGGCCATAACCACCCTGGCCATAACCACCCCGGCCCCCCAGGTCAAACACAACCCTGATGTGGCCCTCAATGAAATTGAGTTTGACACCCCTGATCTAGAACCAAGAAACAGAAGAAAAAGTCTCCTTCCTTCCCCCACCCCCATGAAGAAAATACCAATACTGAAATGTGATGTTTGATCACTCTCAAGTCTGTCCTTTCATACTGCTCTTTGCAATTTTCTGGTGGGATATATAACCTCTCATTGGAGAAGAATGAACCAAAAACAGGAGTTAAGTAGCTCTGCCTCTTCTTTCTTACCTGTTAGCATTTTCTGTTCTTCACCTGGTGCTTAGTATAGTGTTTCCTTTTTCCTTTATTTAAAATACGTCCTTTTTTCTTAAATATGTCTGAAGAACATATTTTCTTTAAAATGTCTAAAAAAAGTTCTTTATGTTATTCTTAGCATCCTTCTCTAGCTTCAGTCCATTCTGACCTGTTCGTTTCCTAATACCATTTTCCACAGTACTAGGCTACCTGTTGGCATTCTTCCTTTGTGCCCTTTTTCATTTTGTTTTTTTGTTTTGTTTTGTTTTCAGAACTTCACCAATCTATTTGTGTGGCTATATTGGGTTGTCATTTTGTTTTCTTTGCTTTTCTCCTTGGGTTCCAGTTGTTCTTTTAATATCTCCTTCTTTAGGAATTCTCATCCATCTTGAGCTCCTTATCCTTTTAGCTACTCCTACCAAGGAACTCTATTTATCATTGCTTTGAGTTTATTAAAATCTTTCCTGAGATTCAAGACTTGTGTTTGACTGTTTTAGTGCCTCTTAAAATCATGAACTCCAGCATTTTATCAGAACTTTCCCTTAATATTCCTGCTTCTCCTCCTTCTCGACCAAGACGTTCCCACTGATGAATATCAATTCAAGAATAGTTGATCCTCCTTGGACTTTATTCCATTTATGAAGAAGACGGCTGTCAGCATGACAGCTCAAGAATTTCATGGAGAAAATGCCTGCTTTATCTTTCAATCACTATCTATGACTTCTTGTATGTTTTAATGATCTGTAATTTCTTTTTGGAAGGCATTATCTACATTTACTCCTTGGTTATGATTTGATTTGTCCTTCCTCTTCTTTTAACCCAGATGCTTTCCACAGCATTGCAAGGTAGTGTTTGGGGGGGGGGGTTCTGGATTCCTGAGTTGGAATGATTTTTTTTTTAATGGACAGGGCAATCCTGTTTTCTTTCTGCTTTTTTTTTTTTTAATCAAAAAGTCACCTTCAGTTGATATAATCTGGTAAAAGCTAGTCATTCTATTAGATTTCTTTGGTTCTTACATTAGTCAAGCACAAACTCTTGACTTTGAGGGGGAAAGGTTAATGGCAGTTCCTCATAGTTTCAATTAGTAAGTACTTAGGATATGACCTTCTCACCTCTCATACCTCAAAATACAATTCATCAGCACATACGGCTTCTCTAGTCACTCTTCTCTCTTTTTTTCTTCTTGAACTCCTTACCTAATTCATTTTAGCTCTCCCTGTTGGCTTGGCCTCTGGAATCAGGCTGACTTATATCGTACTTACAGTATCTGTTTACTCTGCAATTTGTTATCTGCACATTAAATCCATCAAGTTACTTTCATAACTTCAAGCCAAGGTCAGGACATCCAAAGGAAAAATATACTAAGAAATAATATCCAGAGAAGCAAATCAAGTCAAATGTCAGGGATTTTTGTAGATAAGAGTTTGACTAGTTAAGAATATTTTCTAATATTTTACCCTTAAGATGATGGTCTTCTCAAGGATCGAGTGGAGAGGGATCCTAGTGTACGTCACAGTCTGCTGAGTGCAGGGCAAAGAAAGCAGTTTGCTGCTAACACGGCATGGTAGGACCTGGAAATGCAAGTCCTCTTAGTTGTTCTCTTTATCTGATTTGAGATAGGACCCCTTGACCCCTGATTTGAGATAGGCTTTGAGAAACTGTTAAAGAAATGTTATTTTCGTTGAGACATCACCAGTCCCATTTCTGTGGCTTTCCTGGTTTGCCACCAAGGTCTTTAAAGGACAGGTTAGAGCTGTGAAAATTCAAAATCTTCTGCATTGTTCTCAAGTGGAAGATTACCATCAGGTTGATCATAATCTAGGTTAGCATCTACATTACTATGATCAAAATAAGTATGTTGGAGGGGGAATAAGAAAAGTTTTCCTAAGTGTCTGCTAAGGACTCTGTGTGTCTCTGTGTGTAAATTATTGCAGAAACTCAATGAAGTAACCAAGGACAGCTGGCAAAACTGTGATGCCCTCTAATATTTGGAGCTCTGTCCAAGATGGATCTCCCTAACTCAATGCATGCAGGTAACTTACTGAACCTTATTCATAATCTTAGTCATTAAGCTACAATGATTTCCTAAGGATGTGAGCAATATTCTTTCCAACCATAAAGTATCTTCCTCCAATAGAAAGTTTATGTCTAAAGATAGGACTTAAAGCTTAAAATACAAACTGCCAACTGCCAGCAGTTTGATACTGACTGGCTCAAGGTTGACTCAGCCTTCCATCCTTCCAAGGTCAGTAAAATGAGGACCCAGATTGTTGGGGGCAATATGTTGATATTACAGAGAGTGCTGTAATTGCTATTATATTCTAAAAAGAAAGAGAATTGGGGGTTGGGGAGCGATTTTACCATTCAATTTTCTTATGCATTGCAAACTTTTTGCTTTAGGGGTATATAAGAAATGATTTTTTTTCCTGAATTAATGCTGAATTAATAAGATCCTGGCAAAATATGGGTGTTCTATTCTGCAGAAAAATATATGTTAAAAAAAAGTCAACTTGTAGTACAAAACTTTTATTTTTAAACCCATTTCTATCATTTTTTTTCTCTGAAAATTTATTAGCTGGAAACTTGCTCACTCCATTCTTTCTTTGATTGTCTGCCAATGATTCTTCAACAGTCTTAAATATGATTTAAACTTAAATTAGAATACAATTGTCCACAAAGAACAATAGAAGCAATACTCGGTAAGACGGGTGTGCACGTGTGTCTGTCCCCTCACACATTAGTATTGCAGGCAGGGAGTGAGATAACCTAAATAATTCAGTTCCTTTTCTTTTTCATAATATATATAGGTTGGCCATTAAAAAAAAAAAACCTGAAAAACGCTAAAATTGATAGCTTCTGAAGCTGACTATTTATTCATGCAAACCTTCTAGGTAATTTCCCAAAATAGCAGTGCAGCATTGCGGCTGAGTCATTACACTGCAACCCCGTCAAATTGTTGGGTGACAGGACCGACTTTCCAAGCAAAGGAAGAAATATCTACGAAAAAAAAAAAGTTCAAAACTACTCAGGGTAGATGATAAACACATCTGGGGAACAAGAGAGTCCAAACACATCGAAATGCCGATAACAAACATGTTCAAAGCTTCCGCTTGAGGAAATACAAAGGCCTCACATGAACAGGGCCTTTCAAAAATGGTTTGGTTTCCACCCTACTTCAAAGTGGGCAGCATTTCATAAGGGTGTGTAAAGCCTCACCCCCAAATATAATTTTATCATGGGCTTTTGGCAAGAGTCTAGCTTTCTAGATTTCTTCCATCCATGCCTCAACATGTTGGTCATCTCAGACACGTCAAGCACACCGAAAATGTTTCTAAAACATAGAGACCTTTCAGAGTATTTAAAGGCCAGCTCCCTTCTTCTGAACAGCCCTTCTTCTCCTTCTCCTCCTTCTCCTTCTTCTCCTTCTCTTCTTCTTTTTTCTTCTTCTTTGTCTGCCATATCTGTCATCAGACGTCGGCAATCACGTTAGCGATCCTATTTTTATCAGCAGCCACACGAAAAAGTGCTGCTGAGTTTTGTCCAAACCAGTCCCTTAGATTTTGAAGCCATGATGTTCTTCTTCTGCCTGGACCTCGTTTGCCTTCAATCTTTCCTTGAACAGCCCATCACATTACAAAAAGAAAACAAAGCTAAATGGAGAAGTATATTATCTACATATCAGCCTTTCCTAATCTCGTGTCTTGATGAGGTAGACTTCTCCAAGACTTCCTAACTAATGTGGATTGCTAAGGATTTAAGGAATTGAAGACTAAAGATCTAGCCTCTCCTGTGTATTGTTTTGGGAAACTTCTGCAGTTCAGTGCAAATTTCCAGGGCAAAACAGATCCATTTAAAATTTGGAGAAATGCCAGTTCAGAAACTGCATTTCTAAACACATCCCCCAGGCTATCTATGTTTTTCTCGAGAATGCAACATCTAACTTGGTATTTTGGAAGACAGTAAATCTGGGATTGATTTAATTTGTTGCAGTCGGAAGATGTAATTGCTCTAGCCCTGGCTCATTTCATCCATCTTAGGGGGGGGGAGGGAGAAGAAGAGGGTCAGACAAGCATCTTTCCATGTCTTGTCAAAGTGTCAGCCTGCAAAAATGTCCACGCTGCATACTAATGGCACACCGAGGAGCAGTTATACCATATCGGCTTTTCTCCATAAATGTCTTCTGTCTTGGAGTTGCCTGTTTCAGGTCAGAATTTCATTGTATTGTCAGTGCAAGCTGCGATAGAGCTGAAAATGTGCAATAGAATGATATTGGTCCACAGAGCATATCATATAAAGCATTGGGGAAATAAGTTTGTCAACTTTTTTGCATGCTTCAATACAGTCCTGTTCAGAAGAAATACTTTCTAGTATTTCAAGCATAAAAATACAAATGGAAACAACCAGAAGTTGTCTCCCACTACAGCAGATGATGACCTCTTTTCAAGTTGATAGCAGCTCTCCAGAGTCCAATAAAATGCCTTTTTTTGTATCACTTCCTTCCTGATACTTTAAATAGACATTCTGGGGATTCAGCCATGGATTTTCTGTGTGGCAAGTCTGGTGTTCCTTGTTAGTGGCGACTTGACCAATACAAAGGTTCTTCCAGTGGTGAAATCCAAATTTTTTTACTACCAGTTTTGTGGGTGTTGCTTCGTGGGCGTGGTGTTGCTTGGTGGGCATGGTTTGGTGGGCGTGGCAGGAGAAGGATACTGCAAAATCTCCATTCCCACCCCACTCCAGGGGAAGGATACTGCAAAATCCCCATTCCCACCCCACTCCTGGGGGAAGGATATTGCAAGATCTCCATTCCCACCCCACTCTGGAGCCAGCCAGAGGTGGTATTTGCCGGTTCTCCAAACTACTCAAAATTTCCGCTACTGGTTCTCCGAACTGCTTAAAATTTCCGCTACCGATTCTCCAAAACCTGTCAGAACCTGCTGGATTTCACCCCTGTATCAGTGTAATGTAAAACAAATTCAGTTCACTATTGACTTCTGAGAACTGCATGGGTTTTTGGCAAGGTTTTTCATTGCCTGCTTTCTAGGGCTGAGAGAGACTGGACCATGGTCATCTAGTATAATGGGAAGAAGGAATAACCTTGAGGAACAGGAGGAAGAGTCACAATCAAGACACTAGGCAGGAAAAAGAGATCTGAGCGTCATGCAGAAATGTAACCTGAGAAAGTGTCTCCTATAAGACCTTCTCTAATTATCACAAAGATAAAGGAAGGGGAGTGGTAACCATATTCAGACTTGCAAAAAAATTTTTTTACTGTAATCTTATAATAAAAGTATTATTCAAAGTTTTGGTTTTTTTGTCTGGTATATCTCATAGAACTGATACCCAAATAGTCATAGCCAAATCAAGATTGGGGACTTGGGATCTCCCAGGTCTTGCCAGATTTTTTAATCACTACACCAAACTGAGGAGAACTTAAATATTATAGTCATGACATAAAGGTGTCCTATACAAGGAGAAAGCAAGAGTTATGTTAAGAGTATTGTCTATTTTTCCAAATAATGGGTTCAAAATCTAATATATTTGAAGTAAAATCTTTCACAGCACTTTAACTGCACAGAATGCTCTAGGTCCGTGATGGCAAACCTATGGCACGCGTGCTACTTGTACCATATCAGTGGGCATGTGAACTCAGCTCTGGTGAGCATGTGTGTGCTGGCCAGCTGATTTTCGGGCCTTCTGGGCCTACCAGAAGTAGGGAAACAGGCTGTTTCCTGCCTCCGGAGGGCCTGCGGGGGGTGGGGAAGACCGTTTTAGCCCTCCCCAGACTCATAGAGAGGCTCTGGAGCCAGAGGAGAGAGAAAAATGGGCCTAATGGGCCATCGCGTGCCAGGAGCGGGGGCGGGGCGTGCATGCATGGGGGTGGGGCGCATAGAATTATCGGTGTGGGCATGCATGTTCACAACCCCCCACCCCCGCTCCCCCCCCATCCTGGCATGTGATGGCAAAAAGGTTAGCCATCACTGCTCTAGGTTGTGGTCTATGACCATAGCTTTAATTGAGATTTAGTATTTAAATGTTGGGTTTGAAGGAGAGAATCAAACCACATTTTTTGTTTCCCAGTCAGGATACAGGATGTTGTTTTTACAAAATGTGCTAAAAGAAAAAGATGACAAGTATTTGATAAAAAGTTTTGCTAAGTATCCACTTTAACATGTCTCTGGTTATCCCATATTGGTGTGGTTGGGTTGTCTTAAATCAAAAGATAATGTTTTAACTGCTCTGGTAGATAACTGAATCTACTTGGACTGTTCAAGTTTTCCACCACAAATAGCAAAAAAAAAAAAAAAAAAGTTTGAAATGCCAGCCTTGGCATTTTGTATGAAAAACAGCCAGTCACTTTCATTTGAGCAAGGAGTAACTTAATTCAGATGTATGTCAAGAGAGGAGTAGTAATTCAGGTCTTCTATCAAACTACTTTCCAAAATTGACAAAAATGTCAAGTAATAACTTCCATTTGCCATTTTTTTTAGAGAGTAAAAATAAACAAAAGAAAATCTTTAGCCAGTTTGTGCATGATACATTATTACATTCTTGTATTACTTTTTTTTAATCAAACTTGCTTCACTGCCCTTCCTTACTCAATCCAAGTGATATTTATTTTTATTTATATCCTGTCTTTATTATTTTTACAAATAACTCAAGGTGGTAAACATATCCAACATATTTTCCTCAGCCTTATTTTCCCCACAACAGCAGCCCTGTGAGGTGTGTTGGGCTGAGAGGGAGTGAATGGCCCAATTTCACCCAACTGGCTTTCCTGGCTAAATTGGGACTTGAACTCACAGTCCTCTGCTTTCTATCCAGGTTAACCATTAGACCAAATTGACTCTATATGGATATGCAGCTGCCTAATTTGGACCCATTCATAGCTCGTTACCTTTAATATAGTGCAGAGCTGAGCAAGCCCTTAGTTGAAAATTTCTGAACCTTTATAAGTGAAGATGTGTGGACTTCATCTCCCAGAATTCCCAGGCAGCATGAATTCTGGGAGTTGAAGTCCACACATCTTCAA